AAAAAAAAATTTTGAAAAATTGAAAAAATGGGACGGCGGGTAATGCAAAACGAAAAATCAACTTTGCGTGGCCTTATCCCTTGCTATGGGGTGCGCGATATTTTGGGACGCGCATGAGCGTTATTTTGAACTTCTATATTATTTTTAGGAGGCACAATTTTCGAAATAACGCTCATGAGCGTTATTACGCAAAATACGGTAGGTTTAAACCACCATATTGACATGGATGGATATTCATAAACTATGTCTATATTGTTGGGGTGTCAAATATTACAAACATAATGCAAGGCATATAGTAATTCTAATACCGTAAGAGCGTGAAATAACACTCGTGGGCGTTATTTCGAAAATCAGAGCCTCCTAAAATAGCATATGTGGTCCCGAATTAGCGCCCATGGATTAACGCGCATCTCAATAATTAGCTGTCCGATATGAAAGTATCGGAGCAGCATTTCGTCTCTAAATTTTCTTGTGTATATAACATCTTATCTAGGCTTGTTAGCATTGTAATCAACGAGAGTTGAGGGTTTTTCCAGATAGAATTGTCTAGTTTTTTTTTTTTTCATCCCATCCTACGCGATAGAACTAGCATTTAGAAGATAATCCGGATGGGCTCGATCGATACTCTCAAATTCTGCATTGTTAGTAGGTATTGTACGGAAGTGGAAAAGACGGAATACTCTTAGTTATATTTCAAATAAACGAAAGATGCTTCGGTTACTAAATAAACCTAGTTCCGGTGCACTTTTCAAATATTATATTATGATTAGAGGTACGATTCAAATAACGCGCATTTCGCGCTTGTACGGTAATAAGGATTTTTTTATGGATCAACCATAGTAATAGTAAAACAAACTGCAATAACTCTTGAACCAGCGAACCCACACAAATAAAATTATATTTGTCGGGTTCATTTTAACGTGCTCTTTAATAATTGATTTTTTATCTTAACACATATAAAATAAAAACAAAGCGTTACTTTAAAGAGCATGTTAAAACGAACTTGAAAAAAGTAAATTTATTTGTTTGGGATAGTTTGTTCGAGAGCTATTGCAGTTTTAATTTACTATTGCTATCGTTGATCTACAAAAAATCATTATTATTAGATTTTACTATATGACTTGCATTATGTTTGCAATTCCAAATCAATTACTAAAATAGCTTCGAAATGTTCCAAATAGAAAAGTAAAAATTGAGGCTAACGCTAAAACTCGGGCGAAACACCAAAAATTAAGCAAATATATAGGACATAACAACCCACCTAGTAAAATAATACACGTAGTTACTGCTTAAATTTTGATCTAAGCTTGAGCATCGTTTCGATTAGTGTGAAACTTGCAAAATCATGATTTTTTAATATGAGACATTCAATATTCAATCAAAATCTTTAGCTTTTATTTTCCCATCTTTATACAGTATATACATAATTTTAGGAATTTATTCTACGTAATTTTGTATTATATTACCTTTGTAAAAAGAAGTTTGCGAATTTTGTTATATTTAAATTAAATTTATTAAACAAGAACTTTTTTTAGAAATATGATAAGAGTTTCGTCTTTCGACAAGGCGAACAAGGATTAGTAAAATAAGTACCCCAGATTAGAAATACGATATTTAAAAAAGAAGTTTCATATAATATTACTAATATACATATTATTGGTGAATGGATTTTAAACTTTGCACGTACGTACGTACATACCTGATTTTGCTGCGATACTAGGTGAGTTTATAGAACATATGGACATTAGCCCATGTCCATATTTGTTCAAGTCCAAATAAAATTTTGAAGAGTCAACATTTTCTAACCAATTTTGGAATTGAATTCAAGCATGTGATCTTCTATATAAAGAAAATTTTAAAAATTTTGTGCAACTCAAACATTAAATATCAGTGGTTTTCCGATACATATAAAAAAATTGACCGACCGACGTATTACTAATTGTATATTAAACTCAGTAAGGAAATAACTTCCGATAAACCCTTTACGAGAGAATAATAATTGGTCATTTCCCAGATTTTATTCTCGAAAATCCGGAAAAATATTCATTATTCCGAGGAAGAGGGTATTTACCGACCAAGATCATTCCATGAAGAACAAAAAATTTGATAATTAATCGATGCATGATCAAATGGAAACCAGTCTGGAAAAATATCATTCCTAAATAATATATATTTTTAAATCCAATTGTATAGTGTAAATCCTATTGAAATTATAGTTTTAAAATACTCCGATCACCAAATCAAGATCGCGAGGTATTTTTATTACTACCTGCTACAGTGCAGAACTCCTTAAATCAACGAGTCATAAAATATAACGGCCAAATTTTGAGATACGTTACATAAAATACACCAGTATGATTGGATAATATAAATATAAATATATTAGAGAGTGACTGAGTGACTGAGAGTGAGAAGAGAGAGAGATTAGTTTATATATATATATATTTTTATTATAATAAATAAATTTTTATATAAGCTTTTTAATTAATAAATTTGGGCTGAATTAAGAAATTATTAGTAATTTTGGCCAAAATTAAGGCGGCCAAATTTTTAATTAATAAAATTGATTAACTTTAAAAGGAAATAACTCTTAAAACTAATTAACTTAAAAAAAAAAAAAAAAACTTCATATAGGTTTGTCAGGGTCGATTTTACTATTATTGGTTAAAGGCCGTTCGGACTTTCAATTATATTTTGTGTACAGTTAGCTGTCTATGGAAATTTATCATCATGATAGATTTTCCATAGACGGCTAACTGTATACAAAAATAATTGAAAGTCCGAACGGCCTTTTTCTCATATCGAAAAATTTTTTGAGGTATAGAGATGTTATAAATTAGAAGCACATAAAATAAACTTTACACTGTCCAGCTTCTACCTGAGTGAATTTTATTTGCTTTAAGTTCTGACGTGATTTTGCAGGCAAGTTTACCTGTAAGGGATAAAGATAATGATTGCCTGTAAGGGATAAAACTCAACACTGTTGTGAGATTTTCCTAGATGCACCATTTAGGCTAGAAATGCGTCCCCTTGTTTAATTTTATATAATAGGTATTATGAAGAATCCGGACATTCAGATATCCGTTAAATTTTAAATTTTTTAAATAGGAAAACGGATAACAGATCGCATCTCTAATTAGATCAAAAGTATTAATAAACGAAATTGTCGGGCCAATTCATTCCGTTTATCGAGACTAACTTGTATAGCAATAAATTAATTGGATATCGATTTAAATATATCTAACTAAAATTGTAACGGTAATTCGTCAAACGTAACTTCGTAATCCTGGGTAAGATTCATAAATTATACTGTTTTTTTTTTTTTACGGCTTCGTAATCCTAGATAAGATTCATAAGTTATTATTTTTTTTTTTTACAAAATTCTGAATCAAACATCTGAATATATTCAATGAAAGATGCAAAAAATTTTCATATATTCTTGTGAGTTTTCCTTAAAATAGTATAGATATGTGATAAATTTCCCGCAAGATGCTCAAAAAATTTATTACAAGTTACCTGTAATTAACTTTTCATAGTTAAAGATCGTCATCGTCAAGGTATGATACGTAATACGTTATTGGTCAATAAAAGATGAATTAGGAAAATTGCATAATAATGAACCATTTCTATTTTAGAGCTCATTTCGTGTAAATTAGTGCCAAATCGGACTTTATTGCCTAATCTGGCTTTTAAATTTTATTATTAGCGTTAGAACATATACGCATAAATTGGAGTTTCAAAGAACAAAGTACATAATTTGCCAAAGATACGACCATAAAATATTTTTCATCCTCTCTTTTATTATAAACTCTTCATTTTTTACCTAATCATATATCCTATTTTACGCCTTTAAAAGATCAAAAATAATAATTTGATCTTGTTTTTCTCACTTTTACAACCTTTTAGATTTATTAACTTGTTATAAAAGTATTCAATAATATGTTTGTATTCTGGAGATACTCGTTAACACTTATAGCCTTGGCTATTACATTAGCGCTTTTTGTCTCGCTTATAAACTCGAGTTTATATTCCCTCAGTTTTACGCCTAACCTACCGTCCACTGAACTATCAAGCATTAGAATAGATACTATTATACCAGGTTTTGAATCACAAGACTCTCATCAACCCATATCAAATGTACCAACTTCATCAACTCCTTCAACTCCTACGTCTCATATTTCACATACCACTTCTCCAACCACTACTCCAACCGAGTTATCATCAAAACCCAACAAAAAAACAGCAAATCTTGCTGATGGGTTTGTCAATGTTTTGGGTCAAAATCAATCCCTTGCAAATTGTACAACTCAAGCAAAATTTTGTAGAGACGTACAATGTGCTTTTAAGGATTTTAGTGCGATTTGTAATAATATTCAAGGGTTTGAATGTAATTATCCTTTCAATTTAACTCTTTTGATGTATATTATTTTCAATTCAATAGATTTTACTAATGTCACTTTATTACGTATTTATAATAGGTACATGTATAATAAACTTTGCATCATCAATTGCTAAAATAAGCATGCAAAACATTTTTATCACTGCATTAATATCACTGCATTTTTTGGTCTTTCTCTAATTTATTAAAATCATAAACATATCACAATAAATTTTGATACAAAATAAGTGAATTCTATACACTAAGTTTAATAAACTTTTTAGACCTACGGAGGCTGAAGATCAGGAATTTTCAGTAATGTTATTTGATTAAATATTTGTTTTTTTTTTAAAAAAAAATATTTATTTTTGGGTTATTTGTACAAATTTTATTGTAGATTTATATTAATAGCCTGTGGCTATGTTTTTTTTTATATTTATTACAAAATATATAGCATGTTATAATTTAAAAGCATAAATTTGATAAAACCACAATAAAAATCAATTTTTTAAAAAATTTTTTAGATATATCAATATATAGTAATTAAATCTAAAATTTTATTAATTTTTTGAATCTATTGCTATCGTTTATCCTATATCTTGAGATTAATTAATGTCACGGCTGATGCTAAAACTCGAAAGCTTGATTTAAAATATAAGCCCTGCTACAATGCACTCTATACTTTTTAAATATCAAATCTAATCCTAAACCTTAACCTAACCCTAAAAAAAAACAGAAAAAAACAACGTATATTAAAATTTTTAAAAATTTTGGTTAATACTACGATAATGTCTAAGCATGTCTTAACATTTAACACCAGTAGAATAGTATTCGAATCCTAATAATGGTACTTGAAATTGGCCAATCAGATTATAAAAAGCAAACGGGCAAATTTCAAATCTGTAGGAAAATCACACTATATACAGAATAGATTATCGAACTTTAGACGCACCCGTCATTTGATTAACAGGTATAGTATCACAAAATATATCGATATGTGTGAATTTACTGGGTATACTGTTTCTAAAAAAATGACTTTAATGATTAGCATTCGATAAGCTAATCTGTTTAGCATCCTAAAAACCTAATCTTTACCTATAATTTAAGCCTTAACTCTAACTCTAAAATTTAATTTTAACTTTAAAATTAGAAGTAAAATTTTTTGCAAGTTATAATAATATTTAAAAACATTTAGTGATAAATTTACTCTTAGTAAATACTAAATAAATCCATTTTTTAATTAAATTGAAACTTCAATAAATTATATATAAACTTTATTAATTATGTTTTAAAGTAATATTAATAGATAATAGCTTTATCCTGCCGTGAATAAGCACCCACCTTTTGCAATTTTCATACCCAAGTTTCTCATGATCTAGTGATCGGATCTGTATAATTTTGGTATCATTCGAATCGTTTTGATAAGCTGATTCGAATAGTACCGAAATTATACAGATCTGATCACTAGATCTTGAGAAACTTGGATATGAAAATTGCAAAAGGTGGGTGTTAATTTACGGCAGGATACAGTAATAATTTATTTGTTACAGAAAATTATTTTTTAGTTAAAAAACTAAAAAAATATCCAATCTTTTTTGTTAAAGATATTGTATATTTATTATTTTTAAAATTTTAACTAGATTAAAGATTATATTATTGCTTAAATTGAGATTTTATTTTTATTTTATTTTATTTTATTTTTTTTGTAAAAAATTTTTTAACTTTAAATATCTTGAATTTTTTCAAAAAATTCATTCGTTCTAATACTATATACCGGTACTAACCAGTGCTGGACTATGACATTATATGACAAATATGATCTACATGACCAGTTATAGTATATATGAACTATGACATTATATGACCAATATGATCTATATAACCAGTCATAAATCATTTAGTCATTTTGCAAGTATATATGATCTATGATATTATATACCAATATTATCTATATGACTAGTCATAAAGAAAAGGAGGAATTGACAAAACAAAAGATCTTTGTTTTTTTTTTTTTTTTGGCAATCCTGCCTTTATTGTATAAGGAATACGTAATCTAAATACATAAGTTCCTAGCTAATGCCAACAACCCTTCCTTCTTTTTAATAAAAGCTCACCCGGCTGCTTAAAGGTGCCCAGATGTGATTTGCCATAGCAACTCTTTTCCTCCCTTCTGGCTTTCAACTTGCTGAAAGATTACCTATTAGATCCTTGGATGGTAGTTGCTAGCTTGTCAGGACTGCATT